GCTCCATTATACTTGTCTTATTATTATTTTGTCTTTAAGACAAGAGTTCATTTGAAGAAAGAGTTCTGTGACTAAAGAAAAATGGGGGTGTAGGAACGAACACTGGTATTGTCCAAATCCTCATTTTACAAATGGGGAAATAGAGGGCGTAAGGGGAAAACTTTTTTCTGTACTCCAGGAAATGACACAGGAAAATATTAATGTAGAGGAAGAGAGGACAAGCTTCCTAAGAAAAAAAGGTCTGTAGAGATAGCGTCACAAGATGAATGACCTCAGAAGTCTATTTGAGAGATCGTGTCATGCTAGCAAAGTTCTAGGGACTGGAGCCTTTTCCTCCACGAGAGTATAAGAATGAAACACCAGTCCCTCAGTCTGACTCTCAGAGAGAACCTCAGGCTGATGAGCAATAAGTCCAACAATTTCATTTCCTTGGCCATGCTGAGCCCCACAGGAAATCTCAGACTTTCACATCAGGACAAGGCCCCACAAGAATGTCGCTGCACCCAGAGCTCCGTGGTTTGATGCCACTAGAGAATTTCCTAGGGAAAGGCTCTGAAGGAGATTGCTCAGCAAGACAGAAAAATGCTGCAGTGAGGCCAGCAAATGCCTTCCTGGGATGCCTGGTGGAGGTTTGGGTTTAAAATGTCCCCTGGAGTTTAAACAGCATAGCCCCCTTGTAGCTCACAGCAGCCCTGTTCCTGAGTAGTTTCTCATGGATTTGCCACTTCAGGATGTGGGGAATTGGGATGGTTTGCTTTACAGTTTTACAAGTGGCCTAATGAGGCGTAAGGGTCTGTACTGTTTGTGGGATAAGGCTTTGATGCCCATTGGGATCAGTGAGGTTTGAATTTTAGATCTATATATATCCAGGGGCAGAGGTTAGAGGGCAGTGCCAAACACTACAAACAACCTTGAAGGAGAATGGTCAGTCTCTGCCTTTGCTTTCTTTGTAGGGTGTTCCTCAGCCATTTAAGCCGGCAGGAAGAATTAATTAAAAAGGAGCAGTGTGTGTGTACAAGTAAATCAGTAAGGCATCATTTCCCATAAAAAACACTTCTTAAAAATTTATTTTTATTGATTTCAGAGAGGAAGGGAGAGAAAGATAGAAACATTAATGATGAGAGAGAATCATTAATTGGCTGCCTCCTGTACACTTCCCACTGGGGATTGAGCCTGAAACCCTGGACATGTGCCCCAAACCTTCCTGGTTCATAAGTCAGTGCTCAAACACTAAGCACACCAGCCGGGCAATAAACACATTTTTATTCAGCTGGTATTGAGTTCCTATTATGTACCATTCATTCTTCTAGACATGGACTATATCAGCAAACAGAACAAAGTCCTGCCCTCATGACCTTTTCTTATAAGGGAGGACAGACAGACAAATTCTGCTTCTGGTGGTGACAGGTGCTATGGAGGAAAATCAGGGTGAGAATAGAGACATAATCAAAAGGCATTTCCCATAAGGTGACACTGAGAAAGGCCGGAAGGAAGTGAGCATGTAATGTGGCTACCTGGGGAAAAGAGTTCCTACACAGAGAGAGCCAAAGGGCAAAGGCCAGGCAGGAGCATAGCAGGTGGACTGGAGGAGCTGAATGAGAGGGAGTTGTGGGCGGGGTGGTCAGAGAGTCAGCTGAGAACAGAACTACGTGGCGTTTTGAAAAGGCTTGCCTTTTACTTAGGAGTAAAAACCCATTGGAGGCCTTTAAGTGTTAAAAGATGAGTCTGACCAATGTGGAGAAGAAACTCAAGGGGGTCAAGGGCAGAAGAAAGGAAAACCACTTATGGGGCTATTCATTCATTATGGTCAGATTCTGGATACAGGATTTGTTGATTGATTCCATGTCAGATGTGACAGAAGAGTCAAGGATGACATCAAAGTTTCTGTCTTGAGCAATTGTAAGAATGGGGCTGTCATTTACAGAAATGGGGAAGGCTGGGGTCCACAGAATTTCTGGCTTGACTAAGTAGTTTTAGGAAGAAGTTGTGGAGATCCAAGGAGGAAAAGTTTGACTTAATCATTGGTTCCTTCATTTTCTCCATTCTCTCTGAAAGTCTGATTTGTATTTGGGTCAATTCTACCACAGTTTTCGGAGGGGGAGAAATATGGTTCCATGGTATTAACTTTTAAGGATCCTTACCCATGCCTGTACAGATCAGTGTGGTCAGAGGCTCTTTGTGGTAGATTCTGTCCCTGGTGCAGACCTCATTTCAGGTGCCATGTTGGTTTCCTAGGGCTACATAACCAGTTACCACAAAGTGGGTGGTTTACGACACAGAAATGTATTCTCTCATAATTCTGGAGGCTAGAAGTCCAAAATCAAAGTGTTGCAGGGCCCTGCTCCTTTGGAAAGGCTTAGGGAATAATTCTCCCTTCCCTCTTCTGAGCTTCTGGTGGTTGCTGACCATCCTTGGCTTATAGACACAATCCTCCACTCTCTACCTCCATTGATGCATGGCATTCTCCCTTTGTATCCCTTTGTCTTTGTGTGGCCTTCTTATAAGGACACTAATCATTGGATTTAGGGCCCAGCCTAATCCAGTATGACCTCATCTTAACTCGGTTACATTTCCAAAGACCCTGTTTCCAAATTAAGTCCCAGTCACTGGTTCCAGGGGTTAGAACGTCAACACATCTTTTTATGAGACACAATTCAACCCACAACACATGCTTTGATCTGGGTTTGATTATGAGAGTCTTTTAGATGTGTTTGAGGATGAGATAGGACCTATTGAAATCAAGTTAGAACACAGGTCCCTCTGGGCTAGGGATGCCCCATCTGTTGGGATGAAAAACTTTTTTCTTGTCCAGCAAATTTAGGTAAACTGAAGATTTAAAAATAGACAAGTTCATTTTGCATTATTTTTTGAAACTTGAAGACTTTAGGATATGCAGTGGTAAAATCATGAAGAAGTCATGTAACTGGAAGACAGAAGGAATAGAAATTATAAAATGAAGAATTTTAAAGATAAGAATCACTTTGATTTTGACCTGAATTGAGGCCTGGACTATAGGTAGAAAAGCTCTTGCTGATGTTCCAAGTTTATGGTTTTGCTGGTTGGGGCATCAAGTTGGCAGAAATGGAGTGCCGCACACCTGTGTCCCTGAGCCCTGACCCTTGGCTGACTACTGCAGAGTACAACTTGTTTGCTCCACTAGCCTTTTCCTTAGATTCCCACGGGGCTGGATGCTACATGGCACTGTCTAGCTGCTGCTCCCCTTCTGTGCAACACCCAGTACATACACATTCTTCAGTGGTGTGTCCGGCGTTTATTAGCATTTCCTTCTTTTTAACTCACCGCAGTAGAGTCTAAAGGTTGTTTATCAAAGAAAGTTGAAGTTTCCACTCTGATATCACAATGATAGGACTATGTCGGGTCTAGCAATGTAATTAAAATTCTTTAGCAAGAACATACACTTGTGACCAACAAATTATGGTTCTATGAGTTTTTATGGTGCTCCTGTTGTTCGTAAGGAATTGTGTGGGAGTTGGACAGATGGGAGATAGGTAAAGAGATATTGCTTTTTCTCAACTTCAGGAAATTTGAAGAAAGAAGACAAACAGGAATTAGAGGTTCACACAAAAATTGATAAAGATCGGTGGATGCCACAATATTTGGCACCTGCAGGAAAAAAATCTGTAAATGTATTGTTTAATAAGTATCTGGGTGGAGAGTGGGAGAAGCTAAAGGCAGGGATATATAGTGAGGTTTAGTGGCACAGGCCTCAAGTGATAGTGGGATTAGATTTTCCTGCAAGGTCTATCGGACCAGGCTGCTCACCTGTCCTTTGCCCTAGCCTTTCCCTGGCTCTTCTGGGCACTCTAGTGGTCAGTGTGAAGCCACAGCTGCTCGTGTGAAGGGGTAGGTTTGAGAGAAGGGCACTGGCCGCATCTGCACCGCCTGGGCCAGTGCTCTGCATTACTGGCTTAGTCACACACATCCTTGGAGGGGATGATTTTGAGTTTTTCTCAAAAAGGGAGCCTTCATTTCATGTCTGTTAAATGGGAATGCAGCCACAACTATGTCTTCAGGGCAGGGACCAGTGGTGAAGCCACCATACTTCTGGGGTGACCACAGGGCAAATAATGTACAGACATCATTTCCTTTGACTAATCTTTTGTAATCCTGGTCCAGATGTGGCTCCTGAAAGTAAAGTTCTTTGTCTAAGTTGAGATTTTTAATTTAGGACCCAGATGGGGAAGGAGGTAAACTTCCAGAGGGTCTGTTTTCCTCAGTGTGTCACTGTCCTGGATTCCTGGCAGGCAGCAGTTTCATTAGAAAAGCAGATTTCATCCTGACTCATCTGCCTCGGTGAGATGTGTGATACAACTTTTTAGGACTCATGAAGCCTGTTGTCTCGCTGGACAGAGCAGAGGGTACACGGTCCATTCGGCAGTGGTGGTGGCTACTGGACCTGGCTGGGCCCATGGAAAACCTTGAGAGAGAGTCTGCTATGGGGCTGGAGCTTTGTCCTGGAATTTCCTGGCCTTTGTCTGGTGTAACTTCATGTACCGAGACGCCTGTTTTTAGAGTCTACTTCCTTCTAGGGCCATAGTCGGCAAACCGCGGCTCGCGAGCCACATGCGGCTCTTTGGCCCCTTGAGTGTAGCTCTTCCACAAAATACCACGTGCGGGCGCACACGTACAGTGCGATTGAAATTTCGTAGCCCATGCGCAGAAGTCAGTATTGTGTGGAAGAGCCGGTATTTTGTGGAAGAGCCACACTCAAGGGGCCAAAGAGCCGCGGTTTGCCGAGCCGCAGTTTGCCGACCACTGTTCTAGGGCAAGAGTGCTACTGCCTTCTACTCTGCTTTCTGTACCAAGCGACCTCCTCCCCCCGAGGGTCAGGGATCAGGTGTGTGTACCTGGCTCCCAATCAACAGCATGCTCCTGGAAGTCACTGGTCACAGAGGAGAAGCCATGACCATTGGGCATAAAAGTCGTATCTGCCAACCCGGCCCATTCACCCTAACCTTGTTTCTTACCTCACATTGCAGCAGAAAAAATCCTACCTGGAGCGCAGCGTGAAGGAAGCTGAGGACAACATCCGGGAGATGCTGATGGCACGAAGGGCACAGTAGGAAGCCTCTAGGGAAGCTTTCCCTCCTGACCCCTCCCATTCCTGGCAAGGACAAGGGGCTTGTGAGGGAAATAGCGTCTGCTATACCCTGGTGGACGTTTTATCTGGATGGCCTGGTAACCCTGTTTTCTACATCACCCTGAGCCCCTTTCAAATCCCAAGCCCTTATTTTTTATCCTGGCTCTGCCTAAGACATTCTTCTCCCCTGGGGGTGAGTCCTGAACTCCCAGGAGAGGGGAGATGGGAGCCAGGACAGGTAGGGGAGCTCTGCCCATGCCCCCTACTAGTCATGCTGGTCAGACCAATAAAAGGCATCTGTGCCACTCTGCTAAGTTTGCTTTTCTTGAGCCGATGGATGAGAACAGAGAGGCAGAGGCTATCTCTACCTGAGCTCCTCCCTGTCCCTCTCTAGGGCTGGGGCCCTGCTCCTTCTGCATCGAAGTCTTCCCCACTTCTTTTTTCCTCTCTGATCCTTCAAGTAAACCCTTCAAGCTCACAGCCTCCATGGAATGTGCAAGTAGGAAAGAAAGGAGACCAGGGCATAGCTGAATTTTAAGTGAGGACAGCAGTCCTTGGTGGCAGTATGCCTAAAGATTCCTTTCCTGCTTTTTCCCCAAACATCCCATATAAGCCAGCAGCACCTCCAAGACTGTCTCCCTTCGGTCATAAGGTGGACACTATAATTCTGAGGCCTCCTAGAGGCTCAGGGGCAGTGGTGTGTTGGAGCTGGCTTATACTGGCTCAGGAGAGCCAGTTATTCAATTTTCAGGAATTTTGTTGCAAGCCAGTTGTTAAACACAGCCATTATTAAAAATTAAATTATGTAACTTTACAATTAAATTATTAAAGAACAAGGGTAATAAATATTCAAAACATCTAATAACTAAATCTGCCTGTGATCTATGTTTTTGAGGTTAACAGTCTTATATCTGGACGGTGGAACCATTACATAAACAGTGCACTTTTGTGCTTCTCTTCCCAACTCTACTCTCAGGACATCATGGGAACTTGAAATCAGCTATGGTGGGACTATTTACTCCACAGAAATCAGGTGATGCTACAAAATCATGGCGTTTTGTTTATTTTTAAAGAGAGAGAACTGGTAGTTAAATATTTATAAGCATATCACCACTTGCAGCGGTTCTCAACCTGTGGGTCGCGACCCCTGAAAATACATCCTGCATATCAGATACTTACATTACGATTCATAACAGTAGCAAAATTACAGTTATGAAGTAGCAACGAAAATAATTTTATGGTTGGGGGTCACCACAACATGAGGAACTGTATTAAAGGGTCGCGGCATTAGGAAGGTTGAGCACCACTGGCTTAGAGGGAAGGTGGGCAGGCAGAGGAAGGCAGGGAGTTGTCAACTGCAGCCTCTTGGGGCTGGCAGGGCAGGCCCTTAGGGGAAGCTCTGACTCGCTGTTCTGGCAGCTCAGCGCCACCCTGTGGCCAAAGCTAAGATGGTGGCATGGCTAACTGATTTGAATTATGCCAGCTTTTTGCGTGTGCGCATGTGTGCATGTCAGCAGGAAAAGAAAGCTTTGGGTCTGGCCGAACTCTGGACTCCTGTTCTCCTTCCTGCCAGAGACAGCCCATAGTTACCAAGTTACCAAGTAGACTTTCCTAGGCTCTGGGTAAAAGTGGGTCTGGCTCATTGGTGAGCCCGTCTTTGAGTGGGACTAGGGAGAAAATGCTAGCTTGGTGAGGGCCCCATGATCTGACTGAAGGCCCCAGCCTCGGACCTAGTTTCCTAATAACACCCACCCTGCTCATATAGCAGCCAGAATGAAAAGGTAAATATGCCCCTCATCATATAATGGACAGCGGCCACTAGCTGAGATACCCACAGCTTAAATTTTACCTGGAATAATTCAGACAGTTGAAGTTTAGACAAATTTATTGAAACATACAGGGTGTTAGCAAAGAAATCATTCAGTGATATGTTACATTATGCCACTACCTTGAATTGTATACTTTAAAAATTATAAATATATATTTCATAACTAAGCCTTTGGCCAAAAAAAATAAAAGGGAAGTCATTTAGCACATTTGTGAAAGGCCAATAGGAAATGAATTTTGAACATTAGAAAGATAAAGTCACTGGATTAAACATCAGTAATCTAGAATCCCACTGTGTTGAAGGTAGAAGTGTCTGTGCAGAGCTAGTCATTTATTTTAGCAATCAGAAGAGATGGGGCAGGCACACCTGTTGGAGGTGGCAGAAGAGCTGGCAGGACAGCAGGGACAGGCTGGTCAGGTGAGCATGTCCCAGAGACAGCAACAACAGAGAGCAGTCCAGCAGGCTGTGAGGCAGGAGGATGCGCCCAGGTCATCCCTTCTTTGGTCTTCTACCACATACACTGGAGTGGAGAGAGGGGAGAGGGTGAGAATGAATAGCACAAACCTTGGGCCCTACAGAGCCCATGCCTCCCAGACCAGGTGCCTTTCTGCTTATGCCGTTGTGGATAATGGAGGGAGGAAGGGTCTGAGCTCCTCAGCTACTTCCCCTCCTCCTCCTCCTCCTCCTCCGGACACTGATTCCTGCAGGGACAAGCACTAGGGAACCTATACTGCTGCCTGGCACCAAGGCAGCCAGAATTTAGATAAGAAATGTCCATTGCGATCTGGCTGGTGTTGGCTGACCCAACTTGGTTTATAAACCAAGCAACACTATTAGTATGTCCTGTACCCTATAGATGTCTGGGGGAATGTTTCTTTAGATACAACTAAGCCCTTTCTCAAAAGAGAATAACCAAAATCTCCTAGAAAGGTGCTTTAGTCCCTAAAAGAATAACCAAGAATCTTAGTTTTTCATATCTGGGCAATGAACAGTATCAGAATGTGCCCCGACCTCTAAACTTCCACACAACACCATGGAAGGCAGGGATGAAAATCTGGTCTAGTGGGAGCAATGCCCGGAGCCTAACATGCTTCCTTTTTCTCAGAATGGAGTTGGAAATCTAAGCCCTGCCTGGACTAAGTGCTCTGTTAAGAGATTTGAGTGCAAAACAAATCCATAGGTCAAGAAGGACCCCAACTGATTTGCGGCCTCCCTTCCTGTAAGGACATCCTTAAAATGCTGGTCTTCCTTGGCCTCAGAGAATCTGTGCCACTTTTAAGAAAATCTCAAAACCACCACCATCAGACTTAGTTACAGGCAGTTAGGACTTTAAACTTTCTGAAAGTTCATGTATCTTATAAGTTAAACCAGTCCTTTGGCAATCTTCTTTCAGTTCTATTTTTTGCGTATCTATTTTTATATCTCCTCTCCGGGTAACTTCCTCTCTCTGGAGCCTAGTATAGTAGCTAGAATATGCTGGGTTAGTAGTGAGCTTTCCAAGTTCTCCCATTGTATCAGTGGCCCTCCACCGGGATATCACCTTCCCTTCTCTTAACCTCAGTGTGCTTTCATTTGGCCCCACTCAGCATCACAGGTGAAGCTGTTCGGGGTCTGGGACACAAGGCTCATCACCAGGAAAGCTTAGTTGAAGAGAAGATAACCCATTTGTTCTGAGGCCCAATAAAGGTGTGTTACCTGACTTAGTCCTAACAATAACCTTGAGATAGATTTTCCGTCATTCCTATTTCACATGTAAGGAACTCTAGGTTTATAGAGCTTAAATTCTTGTTCAAACACACATGACCAGGCAGGGGCAGGATCTGAACTCAGGCCTTTGACAAGCTAGGCCTGCCCAGGTCCAACTAGGATAGAAAAGGGAGTAGGAGTGAATGGGATCTAGGGCAGTCCTCTCTCACACCAGGCAGAGCCCACCCTTACCCACTGAAGGCCCGGGCACTCCAGACTCAAGTCACTGCAGCAAGGTGTCACCTGCCATCTGCCTAGATGACAGGGAAACTGAGGACACAATTGGCTGTGGAACCCCTTGAATAATCCCTTCCTGTAGTTGCACTGGCTCTGCTGCCCTGGGATAAAAAGACCCCCTCCTCTGCCAGCTCTAGAAGTAGCCTGCTTGATCCAGGCCTGAGACCCAGCCCAAGGTTGGGTTGCCATGTGAAAGGTCCTGCTGTTTCTCTTAAGCTGCCATTTATTGAGGTGTTCACAGATGTGCCAGGACCAGTGCTGTGGCCTTGCATACACAGTGCCACTCAGTCTTCCCAACCCTGTCCTCACCGCTTCTATCCTGTCAGAACCACTGAACCGCAGGGAGCTTAGTCAGGAACACAAAAATGTCCCCGTCTCACTTCCTCTGTCACTTTCTCCTTTAGTTCAGTTTGTCCTTGCCAGGGTGTATTTCACATGACATACTCCGAAACCTGGGCGGGAAGTACTCTGAGCTCATTACTCCCAGACACTGTCCACAGAGGTTAGAAATAACCAATCCGGCTGTAAAACTGAGGCCTTAGACCAGAGGACTGCGTCAGCCTCCACAGGGGTGGTCAGTGCTGTACATACCTTAGAAACCCGAATCACTTATTTTCTGGAGCACCAAGTCTTCCAAAGCCCTTGTGACTTTTTCCTTTCCATTAGCTGAGGACAGAATCTCTGCCCCCAAACTCTTAAGAAGATGGGGTGGTGGAAGAGTACATGGGGGCCAGGGCAGGTGTGGAGGTAAAAGTGACTTGCTCTGAGGAAGACCTCACAGTTCCTCATAGTGTACCCACTGTGGGCCCAGAAATGGCATACTTTAAATCTGTATCTTCCTAGATGCCTTACCTACCTGGAGGGTCCGAGGGTGCCTGCTGCACTGAGTTGCATGGCCTAGTCTCCCCCGGGACACCACTGCTCCTCACCTTCCATTCGTTCCCATCCCTGCCACCCAATGGATGACTGAGAGCTCCACTACCACCCTGGCTGACCTGCCAGTGTGCAGCCCCTGCTGCCTGAGTCCTGGGCCATGACACCCACCCTGGGTACTCGAAGCCAGGGGACGCATGTGCACTGAAGTCACTAGCGGCATTGGTTACAGCAGGGGCTGAGGTGCAGGTGATGCCAGTGTACGTATTCCCTACCCAGGCCACATGGCCTTCCTGGCCACTGGTCTCTGGCATGCAGGACAAAAAAAGGGGCAGAACTATGGCTATGTAAGATGTTAAACATTAGAGGAAGCTGGGTGAACAGTATACAGAAACTGTGCCATTTCTGTAACTCTTATGTAAGCCTAAAGTTATTTGAAAATAAAAGGTTTAAAAAAAGGAGGGGGCGGGGAGGGAGGGTCAAAAAGCAGCGGGGGTTGGGAGCAGGCAGTTCAGCAGTCAGTGCCAAGGTACAGGGAGAGGTTCTGGTGCCAGCAGGGGCTGCTCAGATTGAACTCCTTGGAGATCAAGTGCCCCCCTGTGGGCAGCTTGGGGACAAGGAAGGGTAGGG